ATGCACAACTGGGTAACTTACAACATTGTAAGATCTGGAATAAGTTCACTAACGGGGTGTCCATGGAGTGCAGCAAAACTGCTTCCTTTTCTTTAAGTGCCCACTCTCGCCTACTCCACCATGGCAATTCCATGTCTTCTAAATTTCCTTTAAACCTTGGTTCCCTTCCTCAATTTAAGCCCCATAGTGCAGCTCCCAGGTGGAACCTGCTTCCGGGCCCTGCCTGCACCCACGCTCATCCTCCACTTCCTGCTTGCAAGCCCGCTGGTGGGAATGCTGGCCCCCACCTCCACGGCCTGCTCAGAGGCCTCCTCCAGGTAATCAGGTCCTCTTCTCCTTCCTCTTAGTCACTCCTCTCTCTTGCAGGCTCCTTAGGATTGTCCTAACTTGAGTTAGCCTCTCAAATCTTAGATAAACAAACAAACAGCATCAACCCCATGAGAAAGCCCTGCCTCCCGAGCCTCTGTCCTGGAACTGGCTGAGCTCCGCGAGAGCAGTCTGGGGGGTCTGGAGCCTCAGAGGAAGTGTGTGCCGGCCTTCATGTGCTGTGCTGCAGTTTTGCATGGTGGGGCATCTCACCCCAGATTTGGCAAAACAGACTTCCTCTGCCAAAGGTAGAGCGTGATTCTTTCCTCACCAGTGTGGGGCTTACAGGGAGTCTTGCACGTAAGGAGAGTTTCCAGAATAATGCTGGCATGTGGTGTTGGACAAGGGTGAGGACAGTCTGAGGTTTAGAAATGGGCTTGAAGTATCTCCCTTGGACTGGGTTGGGACTACACTTAGTGGGTACGGTAGCGGGGGCAAAAGCCATTGTAGAGAGGGATTGCCTCGCAGCAGCGTGATATAAAGGTTACTCACCAGAGTTCCAAAGGAAGAAATATTTTGTCCATATGGGATAAGCCAGTGTTTCTCAAAGTGTAGCCTATAGACCACCTAAGTCAGTATATTCTGGGATCATTTGGCAAAAAGTCTGATTTCCCAGACCTCATCCTGGACCTACTGACTCAGTCTCTAGGGTGTGCCTGTGAAATCTGAACTTCTGCAAGTTCCCTAGATTACGGTTTATGAACCTAGTGGCTTTGACCTTGAGAACTGATTAAGTGATCTTCAGGGACTCCACTCTCTTCAGAATAACAGTCAGTTCTTCCTTAGGAAGACAGAAAAACAATGGAGAAGCTCAATCTGACCTACTACTCTCTTCCCAGAACTTTATTAGGTGAGATCCAGGCACATACCCTGGAAATGCTTGGGCCACCCTTTCTCTTTAATATCTGGTGTTTTGTTAGAGCCTGTATAGGTTCAGACTATCTGAGAAATCTGTTAGGACACAATAGTCTCTGGTAACACACGTGCACACTCACAGATTCTCAACATGCAAAATTCCCACAATGTCAGAAAGAAAACTATTGTATTAACTTTTGTGTACTATGTCCCAGAACTGGAAAGGGTTGACCCATTATCCTCCATAGGCAAGTTTCCTTTCTCATTCTCTCTTCATCCATTCCTTAAAAGGCGGCACAAACCAGTGAAGGAGCTGGCAAGGGTAGGATTGCAGGTAGGGAGCAAGGACGTTGGGTCATATTTTAGGGGTGGTTGTGAAGGCTGGGGGAGGAGCCTTGGTTGTCCCGAGGAGGATGTTCGCCAGCTGCCTCTGTCCGGGGCGCAGCCTCTTACCACGTGTCTCTCCCTGCCAGCATTTGTCTCCTGGGACATTGAAGAAGCAAGCCTGACTAGGGTCACATAGGAGAGCAGGAAGGCAGAGAAGAGGGGGAGGAAGAAGAATGTGAGAAAAAGAGAAGAAGAAATTCTTTTAAAATAAAACATAGTTAAGAAGTTCCAAGAAAACTAAAGCATTGGTAGCAAGGCAAGGAAAAAACAATGTAAAGGAACAGGAATAGAATATTAATGAAAAATCGATTTAAAATCTTTGTAAGTTAAGGTACCTGAGATAAAATGGATAATGTTTAAAATAAAAGATAAAAGGCTTGAAGCCAATAACATAAAATGTTAAAAACATAAAAGAAGAAGGGGTAAAATGTTAAGATAAAAGGCTTGTAAGATGAAAAGCTGAACGTGTAAAAGTAGATGGGATTTAGCAATAAATTCAGGAATTCAGGACTGAAAAGACTAGGCTGAAAATATGAAAATTCTCAGCGTTCAGAAGTCCTCTAGAGTTGAGTGCTTTTCAGAGTAATAATAAGTTTCCTGGTGGCTCCCACAGATTTTTCTGGTGGCTTGTTTGAGAGCCGAAGCCTGGCCCCACACTCTGCCCAGCAGCACCGTGGCAGTTGATCGGTGGTCTCCTGCCTGCAGATTTCTATCTTATCTATGCCCCTGAATTCTGCTTCCAATTCCACACATCCAAGCAAACGATACTATACCAGCTGGGTGTCCTACTATTCAACTCAGTTCTGATACTATCTACCTGGAGATAGCATCTGATTCCACAGGATAAGGATTCAGTCCTACAAGACAACCCTGCCTTCCCACTTCAGAAGTCCAGATTGTCAGCTGTGCTTCTGACCAACCGGGTATAGATTGGAGGTTTCAACATCCCCTCCTTGGGCTCTTGTAATTTGCTCAAGTGGCTCACAGAGCTCAGAGAAGCATTTTACTTACAAGATGTGGGTAAAATTGCAATATTTCCTGAATCTCTCGCCTGATCTTATTGCATCTCCATAGCAATAGGTGTTTCCAGAGGGTGGAGAGAAGTAGTTCATCTCCGTATCAATAGGTGATTACAGGAGCGAAGGTCCACTAGCAGGACTGCAGCAGCCCACCTCTTCAGGCCTCACATTGAACCACCTGGACATACCACACCTTCAGGTCCCTGGGCTCTATACATTCCAGTCTTCTGCCTACAACACCATTCCTCGCTGCTGCTGCCTGGGGAGGTTTTACCCATCTTATCAAACAGCTTAAGTGTTATTTCCCCTGAGAAGCTTTTTCTGAATCTCCTTTCCATGTGCCTTCCCACCCCCAGTTTAGTCTGCTTTCCAACCATACTGCAGAATAATGGTTAATCTCCTTGTCTGCCTTCTGTATTAGACCAAAGGTCAGGGACCACTGCCTACTAGTAAAAGAACTGGTAATCATAAAGCACTACCCACCCATTTTTTCCTCAGAGCCCCAACACCCCTGCAAGGTAAGCCCTGACAGCCATGTTTCACAGCTTAAGAAACAAAGAACTAGTCATTTCTGTCTTTGACAAATCTTCATTGTCCTCCTACTATGTGCCAGGCTTAGAGGAATTAAACAAGTTGTCCAGGATCACCCATTTAGAAAGTTACAAAGCTATTTATTGAACTCAGGGCCATAAAATTCCAAGCCTGTGTTCTCACTATGTGTTTTTCTCCACAACATGTAGTAGGTGCTCAATAAATGTTTGTTGAAAAAACAAATAAATGAATGGAGGCAAGCCCATCATGAAAAATGCAAATGAGAATAAAGGCCTTGGAAAACCATTCCTACTTTCTCTGACTCATCTCCTCCAACAACTGGCTGTGACGCCACTCCTGGGAGGTGCTTGTGTGTGCATCTTTTGATCTTCCATATATAAGCTCCTAATAAGGTGCTGCTGAGTATGTGGAGCATGTTAGAAAGATGCCCAAGGTAAATACACAGGGTGCAATAAAGCTGTCCTGGGAATCTGCTTTTGAGATGGCAAAGAGGACACAGACTCGGGCTTTTTCAAGTCTTTGAAATTTCTAGGATTCATTTTTACGGTTTGGAGTAGAATGCATGGTTTAAGCAAACACAATTAAATCCAAATTACCCGTGGCCAAGCAGCTACTTGCTGTCTTTTAGTGTGGGAAAGATAGGGCTTTTTAGGGCCAGAACAGATTTTTTTGAAATTAGGTATCAAATAGCTTTGTCCTTTTCTTTTACATAAACGTTCATTTAGAACACACCAAATTTCTGAGGAGGCTGCTGTTTTATTTGTTTATTTTTTGATTTGTTAGTGTCATGGAGCATGAAATCTTATTTAAAAGGCACTGTGCTTTCTGGAGAAAGATGCCCAGGATTTGCATTCTCAGAGTCCAAATCCAGAAACTAAATACAGCTTTTGCCTCTTTGGGGCATCTCCACGTTCTTTAAAATATGCTGGTGTTTTTCCTGCTAAAGATTCTTCAGACACAAAGTCAGGCAATTTATTGTGACTCCCAGTAAGTTGATTTATATGGAGATTGTTTTAAACATAGTGTGTCCCTGGGTACATAATATATGTGTGACAGTGTCATCTCCATATGGTTGGTGCAGGCCATTTGAATAAAACACCAGATGGAAATCATCATTCAAATTACTCCTTTCTCATCACCTAAATGCAAACAGCAAAATGGGGAGCCATTTTCCATTGCTTCCAAAATAATAATAATAAATTAATAATAATAATGATATTAAAGATCCTGACAGATACCTTCAGATGCCATGGTATTATAATGTCTGTAACTGCTATAATGGGGCTCTTTTACAGATGGCAGCCGAGGCAGATCAAACCCTTCATTAGTCTTTCTAAAAAAATTGTCATATACTTTCTCTTCTTTATGATTGAAAGAACAAAAGGCCCTTTGTGCCTTTAGAAACTTAGCTGCAATTTCAACTAGAAAGAGAAGCACATTAGCTGCTATTATGCATGAGCCATATCATCAGCATAAAAATGAATTTGTAATATTTTGCCACATGTGATGTATTATGGCTGGGCTATGTAAACAATACTGGGCCTGAAATTGAGCCTTGGGGACTCCCTTTACAACTGACAAATTGAGAAACAAGGCCATCAACTCTCACACATTGCATCCGGTGAGTAAATAACTCAGCCAAGATCCATTTCCAGCCCAGTCTGAGATAATCTCTGTCCTGTAATAATAAATCATAGTCAAGGGCGTCAGATGCCCCAGGCAGATCTATAAACCTGTAAACACTGCTATGCTACACAGTTCTGATCTCTTGCACAAGCTCTAGCCAAATCATTCATGGGTTTAATCTCAGCATTGGTCCTAATTGCATTCGCAGCTCCTGTCTGCCCATCAAAAACAGCAGGGTTGCTCTTTGGAACTACATCAAGGTAGTAGCCTTCTCTCTTTTTTGATTCTTTCGGTTTTCCCTCCACTCTCCTGGATTCAGCAAGAAGTGGCATGTGCACTGAGAATCAGCTCATGGAGATTTGGGGATAAGCTCTATTTATTCCAGAGGAAGGAAGCAAAGAAAGATTGCATGGTAAAGTTGGATTGGTGGGGCAAATGATTCTCTGTTACAGGACCTGGGACAAAGGTGTGGGCCAGAAATGGTCTGGGGAATGTCAGACCTACTCAGGTCTGCCTTCTCACTGCTTTTCTTCCCTTTGCTTTAGTGCCGTATGTATGGGATTTTAGAGGGTCAACTGCTTAGTGCCTACGTTGTGCCCAACAAAATTGTTAACACTTCATGATTGTACAGAGTCAAAGCTGATACATGAAGCAGCATTTGGCATTTTTCAGTGTGTAGTTAGTTTTAACTCACCCTAAAATTCACAATAGAATTCATGTATTCCTTCCCTCATGCCTTTACTTATCTGCTGAGTCCAGTACTTGGAGCCAAAGTGGTGGACACTGGCAGGGGATACAGGAGAGAGAATCTGGAATCCTAGGTAAGATGCAGAACTCCTTGTATGATTAATACTGGCAGGAGAGGGAATTAGATTTGTTAAACATAAAAGTCCAGGAACTGTGCTGCCAGGCTTGGAAATATTCTGTCACTTAATCCTCACAGCATTCCTGTTAGCAGATGACATAATCCTTGTTTAAGAAGAATGAAACCAAGTCCCAGAGAGACAGAGCAACTTACCCAAGAACACAGAGCCAACTGAGTGATGGAGCTGGGATTTGAAACCAGTTTAATGTGCTGGTGGGCCTGTGTTCATGGCCCATGCTCCTATGTCTTACTCATTTTTGAGAGTGGTATCTTAAATTTATGTGACCCCTTTGTCTTAAGGCTGGATAAGCAAACAAGATTTATGTCATATTCCATCAATTAGTAGTAGTGCCTGGAATGCTGTGATGAGAAAGCTTCTTACCAGGGAAGGTTCTGTGGTTGATTAGTGATGTCTGGGATGGGTGGTATGGGGAGATCATCAGCACACAGGCTGTGCATTGCTGGCTTCCCCTCACGGTCCTTCGAGGGTCAGGTCATCTTTTGGTAGAATTGTGCCTGCGTGAATGTTGTGTAACATATATTCAGAAGTAGCCAGATGTTTATGAGTGGGTAGCAATATATTGTTTATGTCTTTTGGGAAAGAAACTTCCACAAAAAGAATGCCTCCCGATTCCCAGTACCACTCTGGAAACCATCAAGTTGTGGTCAATCAGCATTTCAGGGGCTCATTCTTGGAAATAGAACATGTCTGAAGGCACCCTAGAAATACCTAGAGTATCATATCCTGAAAGCATCCTATTTAGGGAGCAGTTATTTTCCATCTTCTGAGAGAGTTGGAGAAACAGTGATAAGTGAACGAAGCCTAAATAAATTATCACAACAAAAACTCCAACCACGTTAGGTGGCTCTATAATTATTACCCTTAATTCATACAGCTTTGTAGATTACTTGCTGGCTGCCCACTCTATTTTCTTTTCACACTCAAGTTCTTTGCCCCACTTCTCCAAATCTCCTCAAAACCAACCCATTACTTAATGGTCCAATGGACAAACATCTGTACCAAGTACTTTTAACAGTTATTTTCTTTCTCATTGACCCATATTTTAAATGCTACCAAATAAACATCAGTTAGTAATAAAAAACCATTTACGGATTTTCACTAATCAAAGACCGCCTATCAGAACTTCTCAGAATATGACAGTAGATGTTGCCAGATGAGTTGTGTTTCTCCAGTTAAAAATCAAAGAAGTTTAGTGTTTTAGATTGTATGCCTGTATAGTTTTATCAAGGATAAACATACATCAAGGATAAGCTACTGGGCTTTTCGAAGCCATGAAAACTGTTTACCAATATTCATCACTGCCTTTGAATGCTTCTGGTGGGGGGCATTTCTGAACCCAGTTTGAGAGCTATATCATCAATTCCTGGAGGTCTGGCAGGACTTTTGTAAATACAGGATGATGGTGCTTCCTTCCTAAAAGCAATAACTATTGATTCTCTTTTTTGGTCAAATTTAATCATAAATTCAGGCTCCTTGTCCAGGATTAAATTCTCCATTTGAGATGCTTACTTGTACATGAATAACATCATGAATTCTCAGGTTTTAGGACTCACCAGGAAAAGTAGGCTGCATTTAGTTTAAATTAAATCACCAAAGGTCTTGTATGGTTAGTTGCTAACAGTAAAAGAGACGAGGACTCAGGGGATTAGGGATCACTCACAGTTTTAACAATTAGATCACACTTCCTCCCAGATACAATTTTTAAGGCCTTCAAATAAAAACAAACAGGTTTTCTGGCTGCAAGATTTCAGTTTTTGTTTCATTCCCAGTTAGCCTGGACCCCAGCCGTCCAGATGTGTCTGACAGAGGGGAAGATGGTAAGACCAAATGTTGCTCAAAACCTTGGAGACAGATTTAGTTCCAGCATGAATTAGAGTTTTACTAGATTAGGGATTAATTCAGGCCACATCCCTCAATTCCTCTACATTATTTCCCACTGCCTAGTGAGCACTATAATTCAAGGACCAATGGCACAGAAGCCTTAGAAATCAAAATTCATGAAACCAATTACACAGCATGCTTATAATTTGGTTTCTTCCGCTGATAGGGGCAGTGGGGAGGGGGGAAAAATGTTCCTATTGGACTATGCTTAAAAGAAGTGAAAGTTTTGTGGCAAAAGCAATTCCCAGCCAGTTTTTACGTTATAAATTAATCCTAACAGTCACCTACTCACACCCTCCCCGAATTCTATCCTTGACTAATTGTCTTCCTAGTGATGTGCCCCAAATGGTTTCCAGTAGACTCATATCAGAGCAGATGGGAGAGGTAATTTTTATTTTTTTCTGAAAAGGAGCTGGAAGAACTTAAGTTTAAACATCATCAAGAAAATTGGAGTAGACCTTTAAAATTTATCATTCACCATTTAATCAGAGCAATGAGATTACCAACCTAAAAAAGACTTTCAATAATAATTTACTGGGGTGGTTGCAGGAAGCCACTGGGATGGTTGAGGAGGGCCCAGGGTGAGAGTTTTCAGAGGCTGGTTCATTGTATGCTCCATGTCTTGATTTTAGAGAATTCAGGAGGAGAACAAAGTGCAACTATGCCTGAAGAACCACTGGAGCTCAGACATTGTTGATGGCTCAGCCAATGCAGACCCAAAATAAATAGACCCATTTCAAAGGTATTAAATTTATGATCAAGTGGGATTCAGAAAAGGAAGAGTGTGTGCACCAGTGACATCTGGTAACCTTCATAAAGGGAAGGAGGACCCCAGATCCCCAAAATGATGCTGGATATGGCCAAGATGTAGATTGGTGTCTGCCAGCTGCCATTAAGGCATAACCCAGGCTGAGAGCCTCCATCCTGGCACAGAAATTGAGAACACTGAGCTACAGCTCTGTGACCTTCTTTCCCTGGGGCTGTGTCTGGCCTGGCTATAAAGATGTTTGGAGGAGACCATAAATCCAGCCCATGACCTTGGCTTCAGTCCAGTTCCTCTCACCTCCCTAAATCAGGTCTCAAAGCAACTTGAGCCTATTGCAGACAAAGATAATTCTTCTGACTGTGGAAAATACTAGATAGGGAAATAGATGACAAAGATTGGTTATAAAATCTAAGAATTAGGAAGAGTTGTTTAGACCAGTTCTCTGTTTGCCTTATAGATATAATTAACCCTGTAAGCTTTAGTTTTTTCATCTATAAAATGGGGACTCCGGCTGTCCCATACCTTATAATTTAAGAGAGATCATCAAAATTTCATCTCAGCTATCCCTCTGCCTCCTAGTAGTCAAATCAAAAGCACAGAAAAGTCAGATTTTCACTGCCAACTGCATACTTTTTGAGCATCCTATGTATTATAACTCTTTACTCTTACTCCACTCCATGAAGAAGATGTTGTAATCACCATTCTGGAGGTGAGGAAACCAAAGTTCAGACAGGTTACTAGACATGTCTGAGGTCAGATGTGTACTTGGTGGACAAACTGGTGTGTGGATCTTAGGTCTAACTGAATATGTTGCTCTTGCTTGGTAGCTATGCTACATCTAAATGCTCTACAGCAGTGGTCTTCAACTGGTGTCAGTTTGGCCCTGCAGGGGACATTTGGCAATATTTGGAGACATTTTTAGTTGTCACAACTTGGGGCAGCTATGGGCAACTAGTAGATAGAGGCCTGGGACTTTGTTAAACACCCTGAGATGCACAGGATGAACCCCATGACCAAGAATTGTCAGGCTCAAATATTAATAGAGCCAAGGTTGAGAAACTCAGACCTGAAGGTATTCAGGGGAAGCTGTGTGGTGTAGTGGAGAAAGAAACAGGCTTATGAATGCTATACCATCCATGAAGGGTGTATCTCATGTCCCAACTCTGCAGGGAAGGTCTAATTACATCCATTTCACACACAGGGAACCTGAGGCTCCGAAAAGCAACTTGCCCAGGATCACCCAGTTAGCAATCATTGGAATTCAAACAAAGGCCTCCTGATCAACCCCAGAAGTTTTCTCCTTTATCTTAACTATTTTCCTGGATTCCTGCTTTTCTCCCTGAAGTTTGACCTTTAGTCTACCTAAGCATTGTTTAGCTGGGTCAGTGGTTCTCAAACTATAGCATCAGACTCACATGAGGGCTTGTAAAATCACAGATTGCTGAGTCCCACTACAGAGCTTCTCATTCAGTTTGGCGTTGGTGGGACCTGAGCATTTGTATTTCTAAAAAGCTCCTGTAATGCAGCTGGCCTGGGGCCACACTCTAAGAACCACTGTGTTAGGTCCGAAGTGTGTTTTCCTTTCTTCTTCCCTTTGGAGTCTTCTCCTGTCTCCTCCTCTGGAGCAACTTTAAGCAGTTTTTAGTTCAGTTTTGATTTCAGCAAACCTTTGTTATGTAATTTTGGAAAAGTATTTCTTCATTTGTTTGGTGCAGAGAATCTAGAATGAGTGGAAATAATGCTGCGAGGGTTTTTTTTCCATCGTTAGGCAAGTGACATGTGGAGTGAATATTCCTCCCCCAACTGTCCAGGGACACAGGAGTGCTGAATGTGCTGCCTGACTCCCATGGACAAGTTGAGGCCGACAGGCCAGTGAAATATTAGTGGAACATGTGAAACCTAACAGCCTTACAAATGCTCACTGCAGAGCTCAGCCAGATTACATGTGTTACTGGTCCAGGCATTCTTTACAGTCCCCCAGGAATGGAATAAAATCATTTGCTGGTAACATAGGCTGGTGAGCTGGTTCTGGGTTGGGTCTAATCTGGGTCAGAGAGCTCGGGCCAATCTGTCATCTGAAACACTAACATCTCCCCCTGGTTCTCCTGGGGGACTGTGGCTGCCCTCTGTGTGCACAAGGATGGAGGTGCAGATGGAAGCTTATACCCTGCCCCTTTGTCTGGCAGCTGCTCTCCTCACCCAATGGCTGCTTCAGGCAGCAGTAGGTGGTCCGCTTAAGGGGCTGGGAAGCCAGGCTTCCCGCAGCCCAGAGGGTTCCCTCCAATTTATTACCTCTTAATGTTTGGGGCATCTGATGTGTCAGAGGTCCAGGAATTTGTGATGAATGTACAATCAGGACATGTGCTGTGCTCAAATTAGCACTAAGTAGGCCAGGGACGGGGGGACAGAAGCTAGAGTTTATTGAGCATGAGTATGTGCTGGGCACTGTGCTTGATGCTTTACAATAATCTCATTTAATCCTCCTAACAATTTTGCAAGTTAGGTATTATTAGCATTGAAGAAACCGGGGCTTCAAGAAGCCAACTCACTTACCCAAGCCTATAAACCTTGTATGTGGGGGAGCCAGGATTTGAACCAGGGTAATCTGACTCCAACAGCTGTTATCTTTGCATTTAGTGAAAGAAAGAAAGAAAGAAAGAAAGAAAGAAAGAAAGAAAGAAAGAAAGAAAGAAAGAAAGAAAGAAAGAAAGAAAGAAAAAGAAAGAAAGAGGGAGGCTGAGTTTGAAAGCTTGAGGTTCAGAGGAGGTGAGGATTCCTGTATCTAATGATTTACTTAGCAGTTTTTAGCCCAGTTTTGATTTCAGCAAACCTTTGTTAAGTAATTTTGGAAAAGTACTTCTTCATTTGTTTGGTGCAGAGAATCTAGAATGAGGGGAAATAATGCTGCGAGGGGTTTGTTTCCATCGTTAGGAAAGTGACATGTGGAGTGAATATTCCTTCTCTCAGAGCTTTTTAGGAGACCCAGTAAATTCCAAGACTATTAATGGAGTTGTAGAAAAGGGATAATACAAAATATTAGGAAGTTCAGGCTTGGTCAGGCTAGAAATGCAAATTGTTCTCTAAACTGAAGTTTGCCATCTCATTTTAGATATAGGCAGAACTTTACTGCACTTTTTCTTTTTTATGAACAGGAAAAATTAATCAACTTACTCCCTATAGTTCCTCTGCCTTGTGAGAATAAAATCAGAAAAGATCTTTGTAATTTTATCCTAGACCAGAAGAAGATGAAAGAAACATGATCCCCAGAGATATGCCAACCCACTCTCTCTGTGGTCCCCAATGCCTGGGTCTTAACTGCAAATAGGAAGGGTACTTGAATTTGTAAGACTTTTTTTTTTAGCATTCATTTATCTGGAGCAAATGTGACACCCATGGGGTGGGAAGAACCAAACATTTAAACCACTGTGGTGGATAATTGGCCTTGAGCCTCCTAATCCCATAATATGCTTAGTAGTGTCTGCAATAAGCCTTATTTCCAGCACTGGCCAATTGAAATTAAATCTAATGCACAACATAAGAAATAACACCTTTCATTACTTAATTCCTTTTACAGTCTTATAAAACATTTTCATTCACACTATCTCATATAATCCTCAGAACACTCTGTGGAAGGAGATATTTCATCTATAATTTATAGATAAGAACTCAAGCCTTGAAAAGATCACACAGTAAGGGGCAAAGTCCCAACTTAAATTCAAACCTTTAAGTCCTATCTGAGTGCTTATTTACTACCTTTCTATCTACCTCTTTGTTCTGTAAGTTTGACTTTGTTCTTTTAATTTAGTGATTAGATTTTATTTAAAGTAGCATTGTGGGTAAAATTGCAATATTTCCAGAATCTCTCACCTGGCCTTAGTGCATCTCCTATCAATAGGTGGTCCCAAAGGGTGGAGAGAAGTAGTCCACCTCCATATCAACAGGTGATTTCAAGGGGGAGCTAGGACATATCTGGACATGAGAGGTTGGGTAGGGTCCCTTGGTGCAGCCAGGCCACAAGAGACATGGGTAAGCAGAAGTAGACAACTGCTTGTAAGCAATAAATGGGTTTCTCCCACTTTATTTCTCCCTTTGACTGATTTTGGTTTTAAAAGTAATTTGCCCCAGGGTTGGGAGACAGATTCTTGCCCCACCCCCGCCCCGAGTTATAAGCATTTTTCCTGATATAAAATAAACACATATTCTCATCGAAAATACAGAAGAAAATCAGTGAAGCAATTCTATCTCCTTAATTAAGACAGCCAATGCCAATGTTCTGTTGTTTTTTTTCTACATGTATTGAATCAGCATCTCCTCATTTTGATCAAGTTGAAATTGCATGTATATTTTTCAGTTTTCTCTCCCTTAGAATCCCTAACACTCTTCGGAGAGCCTTACAGTTGCTCTGAAGCGATCTGCTGAACAGATGATGGGATAGAAAGATGAATGAATATATTCATAGGTAAGTATGGAACACAAAGATTTAGAAAAAATAATCCCTGCCCTTGAAATGCTTGCTATCTAAATATAAGACTGGACATTTACTCATGCAGTAACTTTTTGGGACTAATATAAGCATAAGGAAGCACATAAACCTGAAGTTACTCAAGTAGTATGAGAGTCATATGTGAGTGTTGAGAATGGGATTGAACAGCACAAATCAGGGCCAGTCCACGGGAGAGTTCCTGGTGGTGGGAGGGGGTTGGGGGCAGTGCACAATCTTTAGTTAAATCTTAAAAGAAATGTCTGTGGTTGGCAGAAAGGTATATGGCTCTCTAATCTTTTCTAGATAATGGATCACAGAGAAGCAACTGTATCACTATTATCTGAAAACTGAAAAATATTTATATTCTAACAATTTTCCCATGACTGAGAGTACAGAACATCTACTGGATCAAGAAAACCTATTGTTTTAATCTGTTTATCAAAAATATAAATGTGGCCTATATTTCTGAGGAGTGTTACTTTCTAATCACTTGGGGAAATAAGGAAATGAAAATAGCTGCTTTAGTACTTAAGCTTTCGGATAAAGAAATGGTGCAAGCTAAATAATTTACAGATTAAATATCTCAGTGTTAAGGAAGAGGTCAGCTTTGTTGCTTTTAGAAGAATGATTTACGGGTTTACTTAGCTTTTAAAGTCCTGCTGTGACATTTTGGGAACATGCTTTTCCATTGATAAGTAGTACTGTATTGTGATAAATGAGGGAACAATAGCATAGTTTGACCAAATAGCTATTCTTAATGTTTGTTTAACAGATAAAGCAGTCAGGTGACATTTTCCATCAGTGTATTGTGCAATGCTGTAAAACTACAGCTCGAAGATTTAGCATTGAAAATGATAAATTCCCAGGGAAACTCTAGGCTGGCAGTTTGAAAAGGCCACCCAACATCAACTGGATTCCTTAAATACCTTTTCCTGTGGTCTTTATGATTCAGTTAAAAGTGCTCAGACTTTGAAATCAGATCTGTGTTCAAATCCTGGCTCTACCACTCCCTAGATGAGAGCCTTTGGAGATGTTATATAACTTCCATGAGCCCTTCTAAATGAGGTTTATAATAGCTATGTCACAGGGTTGTTGAGAGAACAAAAATAATTACATGCATAGAGTGCCTTACACAAAACTTGATGCTTAGCGGACACTCAGTATATCTATTCATTCAGTGAACATTAGGCACTGTGCTAGCAACTGGGGAATACAAGAATGATGAAGACAGTTAGCCTGCCCTTCTAGAACTAATAATTTAGTAGAGAAGACAGACCCAAACTATAAGTAAACAGATAAATATATATCATCACTACAAATTTAGCCAAATGTTATAAAGACCCCAAAGGCTGAGACTGAGATTATTTGGAGTAAGTGTAGAACTGCTTCACATAGGGTAGGGATGCTTTTTTAAGCTGTTGACTTCAAGCAGAGATCTGAAGCCATGAGAAGAGTTGGAGGGTAAAGTATTATAAGCAGAAGGAATAGCATGTGCTGTAGCTCTGAGGCAGGGAAGATCCTGGAGTGTTACAGGTACTGAACAAGGCCAGTGAGTATGGCCTGGACAGCCAAGAGGTGAACCACTAGGGAAGGATGAGGCAGGAGCTGTCAGCAAGGATGGTCACATACAACCTTGGTAGAGAGTTTGGATTTCATTCTAAGTACAATTTCATCATTACTTCCATTTCCATTGTACTTTGAACCATTATTTAGCACCAAAAGCTGGTCAGCTGTCATCCAATTTTGCAGGAATTCCAAGGAGTATGTGTTCTAAGGATTAGGCATGTTAACTATCAGAGTGGTGATAAAGCATATCCTGTTGTGAAGTTAAGCCTCTGGAATCTGCAGTGAGAGGCGACTGGTCCAGCATTTGTTTCACTAACTCGCAGCATGTCTGAGTTGTCATGCTTTTAGAGCTCCTCTAGTCCTGCTCCCTTATCCTGTAAGTGGGAAAGAAAGACTACATAGGGCATGGTTCTAAGGTAACTGGGGGAAACAGATTTAAGTGCTAATTTATTGATAGTTCTCTGTGTCGTAGGAAGGGTGCTGGGTACTTTCTTGTTGAACTATTCTAATCTTCACAGGTACCTGTAAGGCAGTCATTTTAGTCACATTTCGCATGTGAGAAAACTGAGTAAATTGTCTCAGATAGTGACCATTGTTGCAACTACTTCGGAAAATAGTTTGATGAGGTGTTTTTTCCCTGTTAAATTGAATTTTCATACACTCTTATAACCCTAAATTTCCATTTCTTGGTATATTTCAAAAGGAAATTCCTACACATGAGTACCAGGAGACACATGTAATGTTCAAAGAACCATTGTCTTAGTAGCAAAGAATTGGAAAGAACCCAAATGCCCATCCTCCAGGAAATGGATGAATAACTTACAGTATAATCACACAATGGTGTACCACCCAGCAGTGAAATGGAGTGACCTACTGTTACCCCAATAATATGGAGTACATTTAGTATGTTAAATGAAAATAAGTCCCAAGTGACTTCTTAGAATATTATATTATTCTTAAAAAGTTCAAAAACAAGCAAAACTAAACAATATATAATTTATGCATACATATACATGTGATCAGACTTTTTAAAGCAAAGGAAAGATAATTATTAAATTCTGGATCTGGGTTACCTCTGTGTGGGAAGGCAGGAGATAGGATAATAGAGAGACACATGGATAAATATAGGTAACATACTTCAAGTTCTTGAATAGAGTGGTGGATTCCTAGGTGTTCATGGCATTGTAACTGAGTGAATGGATGAGTAAATGAATGAATAAAAGTTCACCTTACTTAGACCAGTGATGACAGTGTGCTTAAACTAAGATAATGAATAATTCAACTCTATAATTGAAGTCCAAAAGAAAAATAGACAACAGTGACTTTTATGGTCTTTACCTATGCTTAAGGATCAAAAATAAATATCTGACAATTTATTAGTAGAGCTCTGAGCTACTTGCTTGGTAGTTTCACGATATGTGTTGAGCCACGACTATCCGTATACTCACATTATTGTGGTATTTATTTGAATTTGTGGTGTTTATTATATAGATCTGTGGTCTTTAAAGTTTTCTGATCATGTGCCTAATCAGTACAAAATTTGGGGGCATCCACTCCTAAAATCTGTGACTTTTTGATAAACTGTGATGTATACTATTATTAGTATGTCCATATATTTTTCTTTGTTTTTAGGTAAAATAAGATATAAATAAAAGCTTGAATAATTAATTTCTTCCTACACTCTAGTGGATTATCCTGTGTACTCTACTCTGGGGAGTCTATAGATCTCTAAACAATATTATACAATACTTTACTTTTGTATCTCAGACCAGCCTATCTTCAAATTCCATCTCCAGGGCTATGTGTGCTTAGATGGGTGACTCAATCTCTCTGAATCTCAGTTTTTTCAATCTATAAAATGGTGATAATTATATCTGCCTCACCTTATGATTGTAAGAAATAAAAATAAGATCAAATGGATTAAAACCTATTAGGACAAGACAATCAATAAATGTTAGTTTCTTTTCCTTCCTATGCTTATTTCCCTCTTCCAATATACAGACATATTTAGCAATTTTTTCAAAGTCAGAAGAGTAAGTGGTAATTGTACACAGGATATGAGATACAATTTTATGTGTTTAATTTTAAATGCAGAAGGTCCTGTGAACAGTATTAATTTTGCTCTGAATGTATTTCATTCTTAGATAGGGTTTGGCCCCTAGGTGGGGACAGCTATCACAATGAGAACAAAACAGGCCAAGGCTACTTTAAAGCCATGTGGTCCACACAGACTTTCCCACTTCTGTGGTGTTGAATAGGATGCCACACTGAAATATTTCATAAATGTACCCATTATTTGGCTAAGCTCTAGCTCTTTAAGTTGTAATATGATATTTTTCTTCCTTATCTCTATCTGAAGGAGCAGAAAAGATTTTTTTTGTATCTAAATTACTACACCAGCATGGGAGGATCCACTCACCTGGGCACCAGAGAATCATCTAATTCATACACAGCCCAGTCTGCAAATAAAACTCCTATAAACATAAGATATAATGACACATCTTTACAGAGCTGACCTACTGAATGCCTGCACATGTTTCTAATTTATGTGGGATTGTTCTCTCAGGAGATTCCATTCTCCCTTAACAAACACACATGTACAAACACAAAACTTGATTTAAATGAAACAGACACCTTAAGAATCTTAACAAGTAGAGTTGACCTCTGAACATAATTCTGCAAAATTGTACTGTGCTCCCCAAGTGCTGCCAGTAGGCCTCAGACAAATCAATGCATGACCACTCCTTCCTGAACTTCTGTAAGCTCAGATAGCAGAGGCAGAAGGGAACAGATTCTACGAGACCCACGAACAGGGGGGACTTGGCCAAAATCAAGTGGCACTGTTCAGGCTGTAATCAAGAGCCCTTTCTTCTTGGAAGCTAGTATCATGTACATCCTCTCATTTGACAGTAGCAAGGCCTTGTAGTAAAGAGGCCATGGGATGGTGCCTTCTATGTGAACAGACATGTATGGACACTAACATACATGTAGGTGTGCAGGGACATGCTTAGACACACAGAGCTTCTGTGCATGCATGTCCCTACTGATCATGAATCCAGGTTTATTGCAGTGTCACAGATAGATGTTTAGAGAATGATATGTTAGAACAAAACACACTAAATCTACTGTGAGGGCAATGATTCCATTTTTCCGAAGAGACATTAATAGCATTAATATCTTAGAAAGACTTGGATCATCTTTTGACCTTCATTTCTCATGGTTTAGGCCAAGGGCAACAAGGTTGCTGTGGGGACTACTTGTTCCCAACAGGCAGATCCACAGAGACAGAAGCAGGTGAGTGGTTGCCCAGGGCTGGGGCAGCAAGGGATGTGGAGTGACTGCTTAGGCTACAGGGGTTTCTTTGGGGGATAATGAAAATGTTTTGGAGTTAGATAGTGGTGATGGTTGTA